ATGGAAGTAGCAAGAGGAGGGTGAATAACAAAGAAAAAAACGTGTAATTTTCCAGTAATTTCACTGGGAAATGAAGCAGAATCGGTTTTCAAATTTGCTTGCAATGAATGTTAATAAAAGCAGGATATGAGAGATGACAGGTTAAAAACATGTCTGCATACTTTTGTGAATTCTGCATCAAATTAAAAAACATCTTGCACACTAATGCCTAGAAAAGTAGTTTAAAGGATCAATGTTGAAGTCTTCTCATATCTGCTCCAATTACATCTTCACTGCCTAATACAACAGCGGATGAGAAAAAGAGGCGAAGGAATGGAAGTTCCACAGTGTTAACGCTGCAGTGAATTCACTTGAATTAAGCCTAATTAATTTCTATACCTGGGGTTGACTTGGCATTCACCTTGGCTTGCTGCCCCAGGGAGCGTCCTGGTAATTAAATTTTCAAGAGCGGAGCCATGGGAAGTCTGATGACCCACAGAGTGGGAGAGAGACAGATGAAGTGAAGGAGCGAGGGGGGAACAGAGACAGAAGGTCAGAGAGCAATACTAGGAACAAGGGCGCAATTTGTCACACAGCAGATATTGTACATTTGAACGTATTTAATGGGAAAGATTAGGTGATTCAGACAGAATAGGATGAGTAGCCGTGAGTTGGAGGGGTAGTCAACACGTTGTCACCATAGACTGTATATAAGAAGTGGACGTAGTCATCGTGACATAACCCATTTTGTTTGTGGACTGCCGTTTTGAAGTCTCGAGTTCGGCGATTTTGTCATCGACATCTTGGATTACAGCCGGCGCCATGTTGTTTGTAATGACTTGTATTGTATTTTTGGGAATTACTGCCAACTGGTGTTAACTTAAAGTGTTACGGTTATTCGCCAGTGTATTATATGTGTGGCACATGTGACAGGAAGTAACGTATTCCATTTCCTGGTTTTGTCACAACATGGCTCTGTTGTACTGGAGTGATCTTTATTATTATTATTATTATTTAGAATCTTTATCCATCCTGTATTTTCTGGCCATCTGAGTGGCAATGCCAGTGAGTATAATTTACTTTTATAGCTTTAGGTATTTCTGAGGGTTCATTTAGTTAGTTTATTATTAGAAATAGTTTGATGACATGTGCAACATGTAACTGCTGAATATACGTAGATAGCACAGCAATTTATGTTTCCCTTATTATTATACACATTATTTAAGTTGTTCAAAACTAATATGTGATTGTATGTTTTTTACCTGTTTTGTAGTTTCACACTTCTTCATATTAAAACCTGTCCATATACAACACGCTGGTCTGTTCCTTGGAGGAAAAGTATGATGAAGAGTTTAGCTGACTGCAAAGCCAATACAAGACACAGAGTCGACATTGAGTCGGAGCAGAACATTGTTTATTTCGCAACCAATGAACTGAAGTGACTATATTTGGGATGTGGAGGAGTGACGTAGAGACGCCGTATTTGGTAGTGGCAGAGAGCTGTCAATCACAGTAAGCCCGCCCTAAAGCATACTCTACTTTATGGTATATTTGACTCAAAATGGACCATCATTTATTAAATGAACATCATGCTGTATTGAAGAAGACTTGAAACTAGCAATTGAGACCATAAACTCATTTTTACAATGTTTACTGAGGTAATAAATCAAGTGAGAAGTAGAGTAATATTCTCATAGACTTCCATACAATCAGACTTCTTTTATGAAAGCCCAGTGCATCTCAATCAGTAACTAAAACGTGCCTTGGTGATACGTAGCATGCTCAGGATTAGCCGGTAACCATGTTCATCATCTTAGTTTAGCGCCATAGCATGCTAAACACAAAGTATAGCTAAGGCTGATGGGAATGTCAATGTGGCGGCGCAGGAAAAGTTAAGTAGCAGTTTGCCGTTTTCGTAAATGTGGTCATTTGCCTTCTTGCAGAGAGCTAGATGAGAAGATACCACTCTCATCTGTATGTTAACTATAATGGCGTATTCACACCAAACGCGGTGCAAAGAGAGTAGATTACATACAAAGTCAATGCACAGACACGAATAGATGTGGGTAACGCAAATTCGGCAATTTAAGCATAGAATAGCACCGATCGATTCAAGAGCCATTGAGAAAACAAGTATTTTAAAAGTTATTTGCTTGTCGTCTTCAGAGAAAAACTAACAAAACATGAATTCAAACTTTTTACAAATCGGCATCATTATGTAGTTATTTCGGCATCCCTTTTTGTCCGTTTATTGCAGTTAATTCCCAGCAAAATCTGTTTATTTTGGGTTCATACTGCTGTAGTAAACAGCCGACGTGTGGCTTGCTAGACACAGTGAATACACCTCGATGAAATCCACGGAGCTCCTCCGGATGATCTTATAAACCCAGACAAGACAGCGTTTAGTTTCCCGGGATATCTGGGACTTTCACGACAAGTACTAAGCAGAAATAGTGGTTATTTCTTCCATGGTTGATGGTTCAACCTCTACAGAGTTGGCCGTCTCCAGGCGGAACCTGTTTGCATTGACTGGCATTAAAACCTCATCATCTGCCAAAAACAAAGACTGGCAGGAAAGGTCAATGATGATGTCAGATTCTAAAGTGTGGTGGGAAGTAGACATCTACATATACATTTACATACGTAGACATATACATTTGCATGCACATGCACACACACACACACACACACACAAAGCTCCATGGATTGCTCCCTTCAGTTCTGAAAGTGAACCCAGTCGGATGTCTTGCTGAGACTCTATGTATATTTTATAGGTCTCTTCCACAAACTGTATGAATCTTTCATGAGGTTACATCGCATTGTGAGGGTGTGTGTAGTTGGGGCGTTTGCGTGCTAACATGTGTGTGTGGCGCGCAACCAGAAGATTACAAAGTGGTGCTTACGAGTAATACGATCCCCTAAAACAAGACAAAATCCTTAAATTACTTTACCTTCCCACGGTTACCGCCTCGCTGAAAACAAATGCTTTCTAGTGGGTTGTCTTTTACAGTTGCTAGTCCCACATTACTCTATTCTACTCTGAGTTGTTGTTTTTTACCACAGTTCTCTTTACCGACATGCAGCTCAGCAAACCAGTCTATCAAACATCCAAAATACACCAATGCAATCAAAACATGTGATACACATCTCGGGATCAACTCTGGCACCAGAACATTGACATTTGTCTCTCAACAGTAACACTTTGGGCCCAATCTTAAAGCTGGTGCAAAGCGGCGCAAAAAGCAGCGCAGCAAAGCTGCAGTGCAAAGATACACAACAAAGCGGCACAACTGCCGTTGCTCATTTCAGACCGACACAGTTGACATTTTCACACCCCACGCTCATGTTGTGTAACTTGCACTCATCTATGCTCAAGTGATTGCGCCATTGGCCAAACAAAATGTGGTCTAACGTCAAGGGTGCGGTGTTTTCCTCCTATTTAATGTAAGAAATCAACTGGAGAAGTTCCATTGTGATATCTATTCTTCATTTTTTAAACTTTTCTTTTAAATGTATGTATTTTACAAAACATATCTTTAAAGGCCGTTTTCTCTGAAAGAGTTTTTTGTCAGACTCTGAGCCAGTAACACTTACATCCACCAACTTTTTTTAATTAGTACTTTTTTTCATACTTTCAATACATTTTTTGTGACTAATACTTAGTGTATTTTTAATTAAAGCCAGGTTTGGTGATATTGAGAAACTAGCAAGAGTACACTGAATAAAAAAAAGAAAATAAAAAAGGATCCAACCGTGTAAACCCAGCCCAATGTTTCTTTTTCAATGAAAGGTGAAACAAAAAGGTGCTAAATCTAATATTCTCTTTCTTCGTCAGAGCATTTGATTCATTGATTGCTGTCGGGATGCAAAGACAATTTTCTGCTTTTACTTAAAGGACGAGTTCAAAATTTAGTCTGTCTTGAAGAAATAGTCAGGATGCCCATATGCATATGAACGTTGAACGAAGGCCTGCGCCCTAAAAAGACTTGTAGTATGTGGTGGTATTGCTGTGATGTGGCGCCATCTCATGGTAGAAACCCAGTAACACACTGAGGCCTGACAACAGATAAAGACTAAAGATCTCAACAGCAGATATTAAGGAAGAGGACGGATCTACTGTGTTTTGCTTTGTTAGCATGTTAGCGTCGTGTCCTCTATTTAACCTTGTTGTGTTCACATCAAGCTGCAGCTTAAAGCAAAGCTCTGTGTTCAACGTGCGCCAGATCTCTAGCACAGCGTTGAAAGCTAACAGACAGATGTTGTCTGTCAGAACAGAACAGGAAACAGGCCCAGGTGGCTCTAAAAAAAAATACAAAATACAAAAAAGCACCAGATGGACAACCGACAGCAGCCAACCAGGAATTATCCATAAATGGCAGTGACAACTTTTTGGACCGAAATCACTCAAAATATCATCTGGATCAGATAATAAAACCATAAACTCTTGAGACTCTTAAAGTCAGATATCTGTTAATTTCTTTCTGTTCTGACTTGCAGTCTCCTCAGTCAAAATAAGCATTGCTTTGGGAGGCTGTGGTGATATTGGATGATAGCGTGTCTCTTACATTGTAGTCTAGAATTATAGGAGCAAGAAATTACAAGGCAGCTGTGTAATATTTGCTTTGTTGCTGTATAATATAATGTCAAAAATACAGCCTGTAATCCTGCCGGCTGGAAACACCCTATGTGTCTTGCAAGAGGATGGAAGTTTTCTGATTTAGATATTATCAACAGTTTGTATTTCTTCACACTAATGTGGTGCAACTTTACAACTTTATCAACCAGCTCCTGCTCCCGTGTGAGGACTAGGGGACGTGTCAGTGGGCCATCTGGAGATTATTACAATAGAAAACTGCAGGGTTGGACAGCAGGGTCTGAACTGTCTCGGTTGGTTCCCCACTCTCTCTCTCTCTCTCTCTTCCCCCTTCTCTTTTGTTTTTTTCTCTCAGAACTCAAGTACACAACCTCCAGAGAAGGGAAAAGGGTGGGTTGAGAGACAGTCAGAGAAACTGGGAGAGAAAGAGAGAGAGAGAGGGGCTGGGAGGGACTGTGCGAGGGTGAGGTTCACTTGGATCCAAACCCACCTAGAGAAGCAAGACAGAAAACTCTGCGGCTGAAACTCTTGAACGCAAACTGGAGACAGCAGACTTAAAGGACCATTGGGGATTTCTTTCAACACGACAAAGATTATTTTAAACTGTGACTGAACACAAATTGATCTTTTTGGGGGTTTATTTTCAGTGTGGAGGAATGTTTCAGTGAGTTGTTCTCTGCACGAGTGCTTAAAGAAAATACAGGAAACAGTCTCTTTGTCGTTGACAAGACTTTTCATACGCAGAAATAGTGGAGTTCTCACAGCAGCAGCTGCAGTTTTAGCTTGTGACTTGTCGACAGCAGTGCTCGCGATGTCAGGCAGACTGGTTCTTGTCCTTCTCCTGTGTCTCTATCTGACTGTTGGTTCAGTCCAGGGCCAGGGCTCGTCCCAGGATGCCTTTATAATCCAGTACCTGGAGAGGAGACTGTCTCAGATGGAGGTAAGGTTCCCGTGCCGCATCCGTCAGGTGATAACATTTCTTTCTAGAGACATCCGGCCTTAAAATGAATAATAATGATTCATGAGTTACACAAGGATCAGATCATCTGGCTGCCAAACGTCCTCCTGTGACGGGATATCTGGCGACAGATGTCTAGTAAATATGTGTGCATGTGTTAGACAGATCTGTAGAGGTACTGAATGTCACAGTAAGGTAATGTACTTTAATGTACTTCATTTCACAGTGCTGTCCGGTACCAGCATGAACACAACAAAGTGTAACAGTAACCAGTTCTGGAATGTAACTAAGTACATTAACTCAAATACTGATGTAGAGTACACTTTTGAGGTACTTGTAATTGAATTGAGTATTTTCACATAATGCTACTTTATACTTCTACTCCACTACAGTTTTTTTGCAAATGTAATTTTTACCCTACTACTTTTATTTTACAGCTTTTAGATTTTTAATGCAAAACTAATATGTAATTGTTTTTGAATAGATTAAGCTACCCAGTAATACACAAAGTAACAACATTATGCAACATTATAGTAGTACTTCATCACTAATTATAATACAATAATATAACATATTCTTAAATGGGCAATTTTGCATTAGTAATCTGACTATTGGCACTTTTAAAGAGTAACTGCCCACTTAAACGTTTTTTTTTTAAGTTTAAACTATATATTATATATACTATATTATATGACTGTACTGTGATGGAACACATCATTAATAGTGACATTGCTTTCCAAATAAAATTTTTTAAATGCATGGTTGAAAATGCCATCTGATGTTTTAAATCAGCTTGAATTTTTCAAGGCCAATCCTGAGATGGAGTCAACCATTTGGGACTAATCTACGTCATGAAATAGAAGAACGAATGTCCTTTAATCAATAACCACTGTGTAGCTTTACAATCACACAGCACAAGTCTGTTTTCGCCTTTCTGTGTACTGGAATTTAAGCTAACAGCCCATTACAAGTCTGGTGAATCAGTGTTTATCTGGCGATGGCAATAGGCTTGGCTTTCCTACATTTCTTATATACAGTCTATGGCTCAGACCTGGGGTGAAGTTATACTTTAAGTGTAATTTGATGCTAATACTCTACTGTTACTTCTGTAACATCTGTGTGGTTGCAGATTGGTACCAACTAAATACTCCCTTTCCAAGAGTGCGGTAACGTGCAAAACCGTGATAATGCCTTTCGCCTCGCTCAGAAGCCATCCTTACCATAATAACACTCCTGCAGTATCCCAGTTTTGTACTCTGGGGCTCATGCACAGCTGTTTCACAAGTATGTCAGAGAACCAAGTTGGCCTGCAGGTAATGTTAAAACGTGAAAGGCTCTTGCTAGATCCAGTGTTTGGTTTGTCCGCTCTGGGCTACTGTCGAAACATTCTAAGCTAAAACCTCATAACTCAGGAATTCTTAGTTTTAGGTGATTATACACAAATAAAAACATAGTTGTGAATATTATATTCCATTTCTGTTAATAAATCCCGAAGTAAAAAATGTTTTTTTCTCTCAAAAGACATGTATTCTTGCTTTAATCCTGTATTCACAACAGTTTTTTCTCTGTGTCAATAACGTCAGGAGCGTCTGAATCAATGTGAGCAAAAGACAGTGAGCGTCACCCAGAAGACCTATGACCTCTCCTCTGAAATCAGGGGTTATCTGTCCACTCTCAGTGTTCTGAGGTAGGCGTGTCTGAAAAAAAAATACTTCATCATGTGACTCAATGAAGGAACTACAGTAGTTACTTAAAGCTGCAGTTGATAACTTCAATGAAAATACCTTTTTATCTTATTTGCTCCAACTGTGACTATACACTGCAATAGTAAATGAGACAGATAATCTGTGAATAAATCAGGTTCCCCTGCCTTCTTTTGGTGCCCCCACACCCCAAAGAAAAACAACCAATCAGAGCTGAGGAGTTTCTAACGCACCTGCTTGAACTCCGATCAAACTGTGAAACTTGGCAGCGCTGATCTAATATGACTCAATGACAGCATTGCCTATTTCTGGCCTCAAATGTTTTCAGAAACATTTGTTAGTGTTTAGCTGTAAAATTAGAAGGTTTGCTCCGGGCCGCTGGGCGGTGCTTGGTTTTGGCTCGACTGTTTTCAATATGGTGGCTGCGTCACAATTGTTTCATTTTAAAGCTAAGTTTAGTAAGATATGTTTCTGAAAACTTTTGAAATGAGAAATACGCAATGCAGAAACGTTTGATTAAAGCATTGATTGACAGCTGTGACTCCTCGGCCCTGATTGGTTGTTTTTCTTTGGGGCGTGGTGGACTCTTGCAAAATGCCATTAGAAGCACTATAAGGAGGCAGAGTAACCTGATTTTTTTACAGATCATCTGTCTCACGTACTACTTTATAGTGAAAGTAAAAAATGATTTTTATAAAAGTTACCAACAGCAGCTTTAAGGTGCGTGAGAACTGTAAGAATCTAACCTTAATTTTGTTTGCTCCATAGATCAGAGGTCAGGAACCAGGTGGACAGCGTGTCTGTGCGTGTCGAGCGGGTGGAGAGGGAGTTGGAATATCTTGAAAACAAGATTCCACCCCAGACCGACATCGAGATTGAAGAGGCGCTGCTGGAGCAACAGATACAGGCTGCTGAGCTGGACCAGCTGCAAAAGAAAGCCAAGATCAAAGTGGAGAATGGTAGGATGTGGGCCGGTATACAGATGATGATTACGGCATTTACCTGTTTACCTTATGTATTACAGGAGGGAAAAGGAAAGAGCAAAAAGACAAGATACAAAATGTACTATGCAGGTCATTGTGCTACAGTTTATTCGTTTCTTTCCAACATCCCCAGACTGCAGAACGGCGCTGAGTCAAATCAAGTCCCTCAAGATTGTGAAGAAGGCAGGAGATACCTACGGTTCCTGGTTCAAGGACCCCACCGAAGGATCAGCTAAGGTCTGTTCTTTTTTAACGATGACGTGATTACAGTAAGAGATGGCTGATTTTCTTTCTGGCCAGCAAATTGTGTTTATCTTTTTCTCAGCGTAGAGCTGCTGGTGGACGGATGTAAATTAATTGTACTTTTTTAGGGGCTAATTCACCCAATAAGATTCATCAGGAACGGAGATATTTAATGTATAAAAACACACCTGCTGTTAATAGTTGATTGAAAGGGCACTACGTATCTCTTCGAAATGGCTGGTTTGCCTAGTTAATGCCAAATTGGGTCAGGATGGTTTGTCGTTTTTAAAAAAAGTGTGTGCCCAGAAAAATAGTGGGTTAGAAGGGGCCTGCTATGCCTATTAGTAGGTTCAGAAGTACCTTATCATCAATTCAGTCATCAATATTGAGCGATACAAATAAAAGATGACGACACCGACCCCGCCAATTGCACTCCTAAACGCCTAAACCTAAGCAATCCAACCAACAAAGGCAATAAGTACTAGCCAATCACAGGCAGAGTAGGGCTGGTCATGTCCTCGCCATAGTAGGATTTAAAATTTTGCACCCTGGAGACCGCTGTCCCAAGTGAAACCAAAAGTCAACGTTGATGTGATTTACCGTACTTTTGTTACGTAAGTTATGTACTTCATTTACGACAAGTTACGTAAAATAGCATACTTATTTGAATCCAAACCAATTTGTTTTGTTGCCTTAACCTACATTTGCTATGTTTCACCTTGACTTCCAACGCATCAGAATGGAAGTGATAAATGGGTGCAAAAAAAGCAAAGCTGCCAATCGCATGAACACCACATATATCGTTATATAGATATCAGTACATTTAAACCAAGAATGGGATGTCAAACCTGAGTTCCACAATAATTATTTCCACTCACTTCTTCTTCTTCTTCTTCTTCTTGTTCTTCTTCTTCCTCTCTTTCAGGTCTACCTGCTCAGTGGAATTCGTAACAACACTGTGCTGGAGTACGTCTCTCTGCACAGTTTCACAGACAGGACCACCACATCACCAGTTAAGGTGGTGCAGCTGCCTTCCGACTGGCAGGGGACAGGTCAAGTGGTCTACAACGGATTCCTCTACTACCACAAGGCAGACACTCCCAACCAGATCCTGAAGGTACGTTGAATCAAATCCTAATACTGTACTGAGTATGTGTGTTTCACATCAAGGCATTGCTCTGTTGATTTGCATTATGTTTGTAAAATACAAAAGGCATTGAATAAAACAGTGTGTTCAGTCAGTGGTCACGTTGAAGGAGCACATTGCTTGGCAAACTGCTGTGCAGCTTTTGGCTGGAGACTGACTTCAGATCATTTCAAAGGCGCTTAGTCATTGGACTTTTTTTTTTTTTGCTCTTTTTTCCTGTTAGCTGAGGTCAGTGAGCTAACAATGCCAAAATAAACAATTCTGTTCTGGTGAAAGGAGCTGACTTTTCTCAAGATACTTTTAGTGTTTTGGAGCAGAAAGTTTACAGGGGAAAAGTGTTTTTTAAAGAAATGCAGTAGAAAACTATTGAAAGTACGTATTATAGAACCATATCCACAAAGCCTAACTACAGTATTTAATACTGAAACAGGATTGTATCAGGATTGTCTGAAATGTCTCAACAACTATTGAATGAATGCCATGACATTTTGTTCTACTATATGTAGTTACCAGAGGATGAATCCTATATACTTCGGTGGTTCTGGTCTATTTCTATAGCACCTCCATGTGGTTGAGTTAGGGTTAGGTTGTGTCATTGAAATTATGCATTTTAATGTGATGTTATATATTGATGTGAATTATCGAGCATAGTTAGATATAAAAATAGCTAGCTTTGTAAGTTACCAAAAAAATATATGTTTTACTAAACTAACCTCGGCGCTCTGAGGGCCACATAGTGGGCCCTGGACCAGTAGTTGAGAATACCTGGTCTAAAATGCATTTACAGCGTGTCACACTAAACCTTTGCTAGTTAAACGGTGCATAATCTGGGCGCAAAGCAAGTTTATGGGGCAAGGGGGTTGTATTGAGTCTCTTAATAGATCATTGCTGTGTTTGTTTACCTGAGGCATTGCCATTTAAATGGCGGACTGGAAAAGCGAGCAGTTTTCTGCAGGGAAAATTTAGTTTTGAAAAGCTAAACGCCAACAGTGGATTGAAGCAGAATATTTCGTAAAATAGAAATATACTTTTTTTCAGTCAATTTTGACTTTTGGTGGTGGGTGTAAGATGAGGACCCTTTGCTTACCCAAACCTTGTTAGTTTACACATCCAACTCTGGGGTAGGAAACATTTCTGACACAACTGAAGAGAAAACAAAACCATAATGGTAGCATTTCTGAATTTGTCTATTTCCATCTGCTCCCCCCATATAAAGGTAGACCTATTGAATGGTACCATAGTGGACAGTACACTGCTACCAGGAGCGGGTCGTCTACCAGTCTACAGTCTGAACCCCAACACCTACCTGGACCTGGCTGTGGATGAACTCGGCCTCTGGGTCATCCATGCCGACCCTGAGTATGGAGGAAACCTGGTCATCACCAAACTGGATAAAGGTAGAGAGTACACACATCTATGCATGTGCATACATATTTCAGTAACCTGGTATAATTGAACACTTTGTTTGTTCCTCACCTCAGCAAGTCTGGCAGTAGAGTACACCTGGGATACTCAGTGTAGAAGCCGTGATGCTGAAGGAGCCTTCCTGATATGCGGGACCCTCTACGTGGTCTACAACACACGCTATGGAGGTCGCTCGACCATACAGTGTCTCTACGACATCCATGACACCATCCACAGGTTGGATTACACACAGGAGGAAACAACAGCCCAAAATACTCACGCCAGCTTGCATTCCTAAACCATCCACATGTGTAAACACAGGAAAAACAGACACCAAATATCTTTTATCCAGATTCACTCAAGCACATTTACAACTAAAGCGATCGTCCTAATTTGATTCAACTTTTATTTTCCCTTTTCTGCACCTCCCGCCTGCAGTGAGGAGAGTCCCGTGATGTTCTTCCCGAAGCGCTACACCAGCCACAGCAGCATCCACTACCACCCCGTAGAGAAACAGCTGTATGCCTGGGACGACGGCTACCAGACGATATACAAAGTGGAGACGCGTAGAAATGACCAAGTCACTGCAGAGTGACGATGCTCTACAGTGTTTACCCTTTCATAAACTTGTGCTATCACCAGAATAATGCACTAACTATCATCAATAAAAGCATACTTTTGATGAGTATCTTGTAATCTACTGTTGTTCAGTATAGTGATCATTTGCTGGCAATGGATGCTATACCTTCATCACTATTAGTGCTTCTAGACATAAAGATCATGTCCAACCAAAGGCATTTTATACATCTTGTTGGCATTTTTTACTTTGTATCACCGTAATAAAGAACATTGAAGTGTCGTGTGTGTTTTCACTTGCCCTCGATGAATGATTTAAAAGTATTTACAGTAAAATTGGCTGTGATATGCTGGTTCAGATGTGGCACACTGGATTATCTGATAATGCATTTAGCATACTGTAAAATAAATCTATGAGGTAAATTCACAGTTTAAAAATAGATTATATCAAAGTAATTGTTTTTGAAAAAACAGGAACTGATGCTCCTCTGCTGTTTGTTACTTATTCGCCGACTGTGCAAAGCTGGGATTAAATGTGACTACTTCTATAACTTTATTTAATCAGGTTGTCGCATTAAAGATCTCTTTTTTCTTTTTCTTTTTTAAATAAACCTGAGAACTAGAAACATTCATAGTCAGACAACCAGATACAAAATGAGCTAGACAACCTACAATCAAGCAGCAAAATAGAGGCAATAGAAACAAGAGCAAGAGTGTAAAAAAAATACATTAGATAGCGAATCTTTCAAATCCGAAAGGGGGAATAAAAACGAAATCTAATAGTTACTGGACTTAAGCGAGAGAAGAGATGTGATGTAGTTTGGAAGCTTTAACAGAATATCTTTACACTGTAGATGGACATCAGGAGTCCTTCCTATACACATATTATGACAAAGAGAGTGGTGATGAGTGCGAAATGTATCATCGGTGACAAAGCATACAACTGCAAAAGTGATGATGAGGCAGCAGTAGAGAAGGTGTCTTTAATAAGGTTAAAACAATTCCTAAATGTCCCAGCAAGAAGGATAATGGCGTCATTTTAATGGTATATAGTCAGAGGCACGTGTAGATACTATTTGGTCTTCTGCGTTTAAAATAAGCCTATGAATAAAAAAGATATCTGGAAAGCGTCAAAGTGTTTGGAATGCACCCACTTTTCGATCACCAATCTATAAGTCAGTCCGCGTTACTCTTCTATATGACTACATGACCCTGTAATGTCCATGCTGTAATGTATCTCTTTCGCTGTCTAATGGCTCCGCGGCTGACATCCACTCTCCTTTGTTTGAATGGACTCTGATTCATCCCGCCCATTTTCGGTTGGTGGTGACGCGAGGAAAAGAGGCGGGTCGAGTGTGACCGTTGAGTTTGACAGGACAGGAGCGACTCACCCAACAGGCTGCTTGTGATTTGAGGGAACACGGGACGAAATTGTGTTCAAAACAAATGTCTTTTAAAACTATGAGGAGGAGAAACGGCATTAACGCTGGCAGGAGAAGCTCAACAATAAGGAGACGCAGTGAGAACTTGCGCTTTGATGAATTCGGCTTCGCTCTTACTAAACGAAAGGACCAGAAACTCCATCACCGATGTCATGATTACAGGTGCGGGACAGCGTAACGTCAACGTTAACTAAGGCTAGCTAGTTAGCTGTATTTACTTTAGTTTTATTTTATTCTTTTTCATTCGGTTGTTGACGTTAATTTATATCATGTTATATATTTGCGTAACAGACCGTCAGTAACGTTAATTATGCTGTTAAATTAGACTGTTGTGTCGTTTGAAATGTGTCTCAAGTGATGTCTTGCTAAGTTTGCGTATCTTGCTAACGTTAGCAATATTTGACGTAACAAACATTACGTGGGACCAATATGAGTACGGCAGTAAAGTAACGTTATGTCGCCAACTTTATTGTTCCAGGTTTCATTTAAAATTAAGTTTAAAAAATGTAAGTGGCTACCAAATAAAGTAGCAATACTATATATTTGATAATTAAATTGGAGCTTTCTTATCCCTTGTTGCTCACGAGGGTTAGTATAAATGTTTCCTCTGCTTCACAAATTATGTTATGTGGATGACGGTATGTAACTAACGTTGCTTACATAAAGTACAACTTTAACTGTAGGTTGTATGTACTGTTTAAAGCAAAGTCCCCCAGACCACACTGAAAGGAATTTATGCTTTCACATGATGAGAAGCAAAATTTAAAATCCTATTCATGAACACTTCAAAAGAACAGTACTGGATGAGCCCAAACTCACCATGTGGTGTTGTCTCTGTCAGCTTCCCCCAGCTGAGCTCAGTGAGGGTGAAGGAGCTGGGTGAGCTGCTCAGCTACTGGAATGGAGCCAGCTTCATCTGCAAGAGCCAAGTGAGATTCTACAAACTACTTAACAAAAAACTTTAAAATGTTTATTATAAAAAATGTACCTTAATTTTGCAGAACCATAACCATGCGTTAATTGTTTCATCAGACGGCTTGTTTGCTTTACACTCTTTCTGTGTTTTTCAGATCGAGCGCTTCATCCGTATGGGTATTCCTCCAAGTCTGCGTGGCAGAGTGTGGAAGTGTCTCCTCGCCACCGACGGTCTGAGAGAAACCAGTGACTTCAGCTATCGGGTACGAGACGTGCACCGGAGAGGACGTCTTGTTGGCGTTATGGGATTATTGTCACGGGTGGTGAATTGAAGCAGGGTTGTAGAAATGAAATGTGAGAGGCATCATTGCAGGTATAATGATGTCTCCCACATTTCATTTCACTTCATCACACGTTGCTTTGCACTTATACATTCTTTTCATCATAAACAGTCAAACCAGCAGTGTTATTTGTTCTAGTGAGCACATTTCAATTGTAAAAGATACAAACCAACTAAAACCCTCAAATCAAATTTCGGTTAACATTTCATCAGCACTGTCTGCACCCCGAAGCACAGAGGAGAGACCGAACTACCGACACTTGTGGTCAGCTGTGGAGCAGATAACGTCAAATAGCGTTAAACAACTGCAGAACAGAGCAACAATCGTCTAATACTGTGCATCCAGTATATCATCAAGTAATTTTCATTAAGTGTTTGTGAGTAAAATCGCTGCAGAAGGTTATAAATGAGGTCAAAGATCTATGTAGAATAAGACCAGATCTGGGTAAGAAATATTTCTACATCTGGGTAGAAAGACACCAGATGTGGGTAGAACCAGACCAGAATGTAACTCCTGGTTGGATATTGGTTTGTTACACAGGAAAATCGAAAGTTAATGCGTTTTCCCCCCTTCATGTTCAAATATTACATAGTCAATACTCTCGGCTCAAAATAAAACCTCTGCATAAGTGAGCAGGATCGAGGAGCAGCTGTAGAATGTAGTTTTTTTTTTTTTAGTTTTTTTTTTTTAAGGTAGGCTGCGTATAGCGACTGTGACTGTGACTCTATAACATTTGTTGAAGTAGCTGAAATATAGCCAATGAATGCTGTTCAGTCATAATCCAAATAGATGTCTCGCATTTAAAAATCCATAGTTTTAATCACCAAACACATTATTACTGGCTATATTTTTCTAATTGTCAACTATGTTTTTCATCCTCAGTTGTTGGCTCCCCTGTTTTTTACCCGTCAGAATACAGCTGAATTGTGTAAACTTATTGACTCTTTCCCCCCTCTGACTCAGGCTCTTTTTTAAAGATAAATGAGCACAGTCCATACATAGTTTACATTCATGAATAACTCTACTTCCACTGGATTCAAATGGAGGCCTGCCTTTCGTTCACCTGTTTCCATAGTGAATTGTGGAATCAGAGATCCATTGATGATCGCTCTTTTCATTCACCGCACATGAGCCAAATTGCGAGTGAATAGACTCTGAGTTGATTGAACAAACTCTGATCAGCTGTTCTATCTGAGGGTTAGGCTCTGTACTGTTAAACGTGCTCTCTGAAACAGGGCCCTGGTCATCATTCACAGAAATGTTACGGATTGATTCGTAACAACGGGGTGTTTTGGTCTCCAACAGAAGTGTCTGCTAGAGGTGCGAGTGCCCTTGGTGGACTTGGGAGTCAGCGAGTACGGCATCCTATCGGCAATCGCCACACTCAGCGACACCCAAAACCACCTGGGTTTGAACCATGGGCAGCCCTCCAGCTCCCCCGAGGCCCGATACTCTGTGGACGACATCACGCTCTTCAGACAGATCGCCCTCGACCTACGTGAGCTCAAACAGACTTTTTATTTTCATTATAAGAACAATGACTGTCGATTTTTGTTGGAAAACATGGTTTTGGCTATTTTTCAGTCCTTAAAATGTTATAAAAATGAGTAAATGTTGACTTTTAGTATTAGTATGCGACATCAGAGAATAGAGGAAAAGTAGACGCATGTCATATTAATTTGACCTGTTCCACAGAACGTTCCTTCCCGACCCACCGCTCTCTGATGGGGCACTGCCCAGAAGCCATTGAGGGCCAGGCTAAACTCTTCCGGGTCCTCATCGCTTACGCCAAATACAGCCCGCAGGTTGGATACAGCCAAGGTAACGGATCATGTGATTTAACTGTATTCCTTTATATCCAACATTATACCGTCTTAAAACAGTATAAAGAACCTCAAAGAGCATTTATGTGATTATAATCAGTTTGTTGCCCTTGTTCTAAATGCAATTTTTTAATTGACAATTAAGTTTAATTGTTCTCTCACTCATGTTTTTTTTTGGGTTTTTTTTTTCAAATACTTCTTCAGTAATTTAATGAAAATATCTGTAGTACTTAAGGTTAACACTCGGTGGAAGCAGAGTACTGCTGGTATCAAGAGTTACCTCATCATTGTCGTCTTCTCTGCTCTCAGTGAAATGAAAACCTCTTTTTTACATTATTAATTACTCTTAACACAATAATAATATTTCAGATTTATAATTTATTTATTTTTGATGAGATATTTAGATTTATTTAAACTATTTAATAAATGTGGGAATTTGGATTAATAAAATCACAAAAATGTGAGTGAATATCTGATTGTGAAAATATTATGAGCACCACAATCATTTTTTTTTTTTTTTTTTTTTTTTTTTTTTTTTGTAGTTGTTGCTGGAACTCAGAAAAATGTACTAAGCTGTTCTCACCATGGAATAATGTTCACTGTCAACTACAGTTGTCAAATAAGAAATTCCTGAAGTCCTCAATACATTTGATATTTTACATCACACACGTATATGTGTGTGTGTGTGTGTGTGTGTGTAATTTTTGTTCCTAGAAAATAGTGCTTCAGTTGTGATAGCATGGAGGAAAAGTCAAATGAACCTCCTCTATTTACTTCTTGATCTTATTATCCCATTCATGGTTCATGGTTTCCACTTTCCAGCGATGCCTCTCTGCATCACAGTATATATCCTGCTCTGTGCGCTGCTTTCTGTATTTCAGAGGAAAGCTGCGCTAGTTCTGAGTCGGCTATAGTACGCCTGCTAAGGTCATGCTCAGCAGTGTACCTTACTGCTGCTGTTAACAAGCTATTTTATTGTCTCAGCCGTCTGATTAAACATGTTTGAACCTGTATCTTAAATGTTTTGAATTGTGTGTTTGTGTGTGTGCCACAGGGATGTCCTACTTAGCTGCGGTGCTGCTGATGCAGTTGGGGGAGGAGGAGGCGTTTTGGGCTCTGACCGCCTTGCTGGATAAACCCAAATATCTAACCGAACTGTTTGATCTCAGCCTCACAAAGTAAGAATGGGTTAAAGTACATAATAGATGAAAGGCCAAAAGGTTGAGCTAGGCTCCAGTATTTTTGTTTTATTTTTGTCTTGTTTTATGAACGGCATTAAATGCATCTGGATTTCAGCATGGATTTAGTACACTTCATAGGTAAAGCTAGTGTGGGTAATGTTTAGAAAAGAGCAGAGGTACATTAGATTAAAAAAAGTTTATCCTACCATAGAACTCCATAGAACGAGGTAAGCTGAAGTTCAAAACTGCTGACTCATTTCTGGGTTTTAGGACTCGACAAAAAACACTTTGATGGTGCCATTTGTGTGGCCACATGACAGTGGTATATACCTGTATGTCTTATGTTTGAAATTCCAAAAAATATAGACTTTTTGCAATTGCAACCGAATTACCGTATGTAATTCCCAAATTTGATTGCAGTTTCCTTGGATTGGTGCGATCTGGCAGACACTAAACTAAACTGTTATTTTTGGTCCAATCAGGATCCAGCATCAGGCGAAGGTGTTTGACCAGTTCTTGAAACACAGGAAACCACAGCTCTCTCAGCACCTGGTGAGTGCTTTGTGAATTTTCACTTTATTTTTCTGTAAAATGCCACTTTGACTAAGAAACAAGTGAGAATTTGATCATGAGTGGTCACGGAAAACTGTGAGGAAAGTAGGGTGCTTCTGTTTGTACTGGAAATGCTATAGTTGATTGACAAGGAAAATGCATGCATATGTTTCAGGCCAGATATGGCCAAGTGATGAGTAGTTCATCTGTGAGGCAGAGGCCACTGTAAGGTATCCATCAGCAACGGGCCTCTTCTGTCATTCACTGTGTTAGGCTCCAGGCTTGTCATGTTCAGCAGCGTTACTGGCTGCACAGAGGAGAGGCAGTACGGCTGTGTGATTTCCTGCCTCCGTCCTGACTCTTATTTATCTATTTTTTACTAAATGCATTCGGTGAACCTCCCAGCAGACATGCAACACCTACAGCTGCACGTGAACAGAAATTAATAATCACAAATTTGCCTCAGAGGGCTTTACAATGTGTATAATTGCGACATCCTCTGTCCCGGGACCCTCACATCGGAACAGGAAAAACTAAATTCCAAAAACAACCTTTAACGGGGAGGGGAAAAAAAGGAAGAAATGTCATCTTATGGATAAGGAGATGTCTTAGCTAAAATAAATACAAAAAACAGAAGTAGTGGGGTTGAAACACCACATCAGGCCTACATGCCTACAAACATGGAAGCAGGAGAGCAATAGAAACCTGGAAAAAAATGCCAAATTTGATAACTTGTTGATTTAAGAAAGATTGCAATTGTGCAAAATATGTTGTAATTGGTCAAAAAGTAAGTGGAGATCTCTGTCCACAGACAGGCGTGGCGTCATGTTGCCAATACATATTGAAACTGGAAGGTACAGAGGTGTGTCTGAAGATTATTGTGAATTAGTAGATTATTCTCTACTCTCCTATATATCATGTTTAGCGACCAACATTGTTTGAAAAAGCAGCAAGCAGCTCATTTTACAGAATTAGATTCTTTAGAATTGAGGATGGATCTTAAATTTAATAGATTTTTATAGAGTTTTTTGTGTATATTGTCTTTGTTTGTTTTTTCTGAATTTAAATCTAAAGCATGAGATAGGAAGAGAGAAATATTTAACGATAGATACAATCCTAATCCTTTATTTTACGGATGGATTACGGGCTGTTTATTTCATGATGTACAAAGCTTCATCTGACATGACCTAATGTATAAATATAGGATTTTTTTAAAAATCAGATTGGTATAGTATAAGTATAATGAGTTTAAAGAAAATAAAGGAAAAATAAAGCCTGAAGTAACAGATTGGATGCAGGCTATTCAATTGTATGCTGTGTTATCTAGGAGAATGGAAGTATCACATCAGGATCCTAAATGCTAGAAGAAAAACTTGATCGGGCCATCCTCAGCATAAATGTTGGTTTTGTTTCGGTCATGTTTGCTTACTTGTGCGACTCTGTGTATATATTTATTTCATTTCTATTGCTGGACATCTCATGGGGAATTATACAGTATGTAGGTTGTTCATTTCTTTAATAGGTCAGTGCACTGTTAGATGCTGGTGGGTTTACACTCAGGAATATTTGATTTGCTGTTTTATAGTTTGTGAATGACTCCATGAGAGATGACACAAACATAAAACCAGTCATTCAGTGTTAATCCAGCTGCTTTTTGTAAGAGGACAGCGTGTGTTCTATAAACTATATACTTTATAAGCGGTATGAGAATTTTGAGAGGCCTATTCTGGTACCTGTGGTGACACCTTTTATTAGACCTCATAATGAGATGAGTTACTGTGATTTTGATACATTATATAAGCTATTGAAAATAGTGTTTTCAAACTAAACTATTCCTGTTTCTCGTCTGCTTAGTAAAGCCTAAGCAAAGCTATTTAGCACTCAGAAGTTTATGTTTTGGCAAAATCCTAAAAGCATATTTTTTGTAGGTAGGGCACGTTTGGTTTTAGCATAATCTCCCAAATGATATCGGGAAGCAGAGCAGGTGAACCCTCTGAACAGTGTCGGGGCGTTTCTTGCTCCCGTCACATTTGACTCTCTGTGGTGTTGTTTTTAATTGCAATAATAAAAGTCCTGCATCGCTGTGGAAACAGTTCAATCCTGGCAGGAAGTAGAGAGAAGTCAAACAGTATTACACACTTATGATGCCATAAATCATGAAAAAGAAAAAACCCAGGTAGAATTCCTTTGATAATGTATTTTGCAAAAGTTGGAAAACAATGGATTCTACATATCCAACAATTTTCCAAGTGATATCAATGTTGTGATAAACAATTGATGCTCCATGTGCTATCTACGTGTTTACAACCTCTCTGCTCTGTGTTCAGTAGCCTGCAGTTCAGTTAAGTTCCACTTAGTTTTTGTCATGTGACTTTCTGTCTCGGCCGAGTCATTACTGGGTTCCCAGTTGCTCTGAGGATTGCAGTAATACTTCATTTATTTATTTTTACATTTATCTGGTTAGTTCAAACGTTTTATTTGGGGTGAAATTTTAAAGGACACAATGAAATATCACAATTTTAAACTTTGATATTAAGCGTTTGCTAAGGAAAATATTCATCCCACATGATGTGTTCAAGGACCGTCACAAAGTTGAACTTTTTTTTTACTGTTTATGATAAATGATTAAAAAAAATGTATGGAAAGATGTTTTTAAAACTTGCCATTTGTTTTCTAGTTCAGAGGTGATGTTTAACTGGATTTTATAGCTCCTTGCAACCAAAAAGTGTTTTGCTCAAAAAACTATTCTCAGAATTTTACAGGAAACAAGATGTTGTGATGACGATTGCCCAGAAGATGTGTTCTGGAAAATTAACAATGAAGTGTTAAGTGCTATGCTAAAGCAGTTATTCGGTCCACCAATTTAATTCAGACTGACATATTTTGACAGCTACTGGATAGATTGCATTGGAGTTTTGTTCACATTTGTAGTTTTCAGAAACTTTTTATAAAATACAAAATGACTGGATGCATTGCCATAGAATGTGGTACCGATATCCATATCCACCACAGGATGAATTTCAATAACTTTAGTGATCTTTTAACTTTTCACATTTTAATTTGTCCAAAAGTTTTATAAATGACCAAATGCCTGCAAAACTAATGACACAACCATCACACTCTGCTGTACTTTGCATCTAATGCTGATTACCAAATGCTAGCATGCTAACATGCTAAACTGGGGTGACCACAGTAAACGTTTATGCCCTTAGTCCTGTTAAGGTGTGGAAATAGTGAGCCTTCTTCTTTGCCATGTTGCAGTCGGACTGTTAAAATCTTCAGTTGAAGTGTATTTGCACCCTCCGATCAATCACTGCTGCCATTTGTGTCTTTGAAGAGACTGCTATACTTCACGTCGACTCAGCAGGTCTGGGAGAAAAGCTGCCCTTTAGGAGCCAACACACTCAAACACACACACCACAGGGGCTTATTGTAGGCACAATAGTTGCCCGCCCTTACAGAACAGTCCTATTACAGATCAGTGGTCAGCGTTTCTTTTGTAATAGAGCTGTTCAGTAGAGGTAGGGCAAGCAAGCTGTACACAGATTTCTGGGCTTTGGCTGTACCCACCGGACCTGAGCAAACACGAAGGACCCCTAATGTTATAATATCCTTTTGTGAGACATGTGTCGCAATTACAAGCAGTTAATATAAAACATCAGGGTTTGTCTGTAACACCATTTAAGAAATTCATTAAGGGTGCTAAATTTGAAATTCAGAGCTCATCAATGATTGTTGGGTTAACTCCACACTGCTCTCAAGATGGCGACAGCCGAGCCGGTGGCTAGAAGCTAACAGTGCTGACAGAACTAACAGTGTTATCCTGAGGGGGAACCAGAGGGTGGGCGCGGAGAGCGACTTCAATCTCAGTTCAGGTTGTTGTTTGCTGCTATCTTAATGTTCAGAATTTTGAATTTAGCACCTTTTTAAAATTTCAACACTATCTCAATTGCATACGTCTTGGATGAATGTTTCAGTTCGGTGGTCAGTAAATAAGTAAAGTTGACGGAAATTGGCAGTGAAATGAGTCTTTTATACATGTTTTGGTTATGCCAAATCTACCCTCCCCGCAGGAGTCGGTGGGAGTCTCTTCAGTCCACTTTGTGATGCCATGGTTCCTCACTCTCTTCACTTCCCTGCCCTGCTGGGACTCTGTCCTGGCTGTCTGGGATCTCATCATTCTGCACGGTATGCACACACGCACACGCACAAATGTATAAGCAAATTGTAGATTTATCATTTGCTTACATTCATTTAGTGGGGAAGGGGGCAATAAAATAGTTTAATTACATAGTATTGAATGACTAAGACAATAGTTATCTTATTACTGTGACTTTTTTTATTATTATGTGAGCATTTGGTCCAGCGGCAGGGAAAAGACTAGCAGGCCATTCGAACCGGTTTCATGGTTCGATACCTCACATCGTTCATTGTTTTCTATCCTCTCTACGTCTATCTTATCTCTTTTACATCTACTTTGTATTAAGCAAAGCTTTGCTTATGTACAGCGATCATTTTTTGGAAACCCCGCTGTCTTCTCTTCTCACCAGGCCTGACGGCTGTGTTCCGTACCGCGCTGATCATCGTCGAGCTCCTGGAGCCTCAACTGATAGACCTGAATGACGAGGGAGCGGTGTTATCGCTGCTGTTGAGAGTGCCTATTGATGTGTGAGTAAAGTGAGGCCCAATATGGAACGGCATTATTGATAGATTTTATATATGTATATATATGTATATATATGTATGTATGTATGTATATATATGTATGTATGTATGTATATGTATGTATGT